TATGCAATTCCTTTATATACAACTATTGGATGTTATTTATATACATTAAGAAAAATGAGACGAGGAAATAATCGTTTAATTTTAACAATGTCACAAATTCAACAAATAAGTGCACGACGTGATTTAATTGTACTTTCTAGAATTTGTACTCTTCTTGGATTATTACTAACCATTTCAATTCCTGCAATGATAGCATATTTTATTTATCTTTCTTCAGGATATTTACCATGGTGGTTATCGCAAAGTCAATGGCTTGCTTTTAGTTTAATAACGTGTATAGTCACTATTGTTTTATTAATAATATCTCCTCATGTTCGAAAATTATGGACAAAAAAATTTCGTCCTCGTAATATTGTAATACTTATGATTAATAAAATCCATTAAATTTCATATGAGGATATAAAGCTTTGTTACTTTTATTATGTGTGAATATTTCAAAATTTTTAATCATAACCTATACCCAATCTGTCACCTTTTAAAAAAAATCTATATTTTAATAGAGTTTCTTAAAGTGGTAGAGTAAAATCATAATTTGTTCGTGTTTCACCCAAGTTTTTCCACGTTTCATCCGGTAATGTAAACGGAAAGATTGCATAGATATTATTTTGACTGTAGACACTATTCAAATGTCGTAAAATTAATTTTCTTCCAATAAGAGTACCAAAATCAACTGTATCAATAGATTGACTATCTTCCATGCCGAATTTAGTTAGATTATAATATGTCGCATCTTTAGAATGAAATCGATCACCTCGAACAAGTGCTACTGCATCAGCCAATATAGCAGATGAAGTAGTATAATTTGCGCAAATTCCACTTCCATCACTATTAGACTTTTTTCGTTCACAGAGTAAACCAGGATACAATTCAACATCGTCAATTGTATTGTAGAGTTTTGCCAGCTGTTCAGATAACATTGGATTCAATCCATGAAATGATTGATACTTTTTTAACTTCAAATAAGAACGATATTCATTTAAAGTACAAAGACCCAAACGTCTAGCTTGTAAAATACCACTGATTTCAATGTTACGAAAAATAGCAGGAGTATTCTGACCACCAAAAGCACCAGAAACATTCTTACAACCATCAATAAGTGCTTTTGCAAGAGCCTTATCTTCAAAACGTCCATTTGTACCACGCATAAGTTGAGGATTTTGTTTTTGATCTTGTGTAAGTCCTCCTATCTTCTGAAACATTGTTTTCATATCCATGTCTTTCCAATCACCAATAAGTCTAGACATTTCATTCTCAATCCATATTTCATCTTCAACACTTGTTGCATGATGCCATCGATATAAAAAGTTAAATTCAATTGAACATTGATTTCCAGTTGCGTTGGGTATGTCACCTCCAGAACTAACATCTGAATAGTCTTGTAAAACATCAAAAGCCCATGAACTTTTTGTTCGATTAACACCAAGAATAACACGTATATAATCATGCAGAACAATATTTATATATGTTCGTTGATTAATAAGTCTTGCAGTTTGAAAAAGTGCTTCATCTCGTTCTTTATCTTGAAGAGAACTAAAACGACCATGTTCATCTATTTGAAGAAGTTTTTCTGCTAGATAATTATGATTTCGACTGAAAAGAACAAGTAAAGCTGTTACACCAGCAGGTTGAAGCCAAAATCGAGTATCTGCAAATTGATCCGGTTTGATAAGACCTTTTTCGCCAGTTCGAATAGAATCTTGTACCTGCTGTGTACTACCATAAAGTGGACTTAAATCTAAATAGCTTGTTGCTGCATTGATCGTTCTATCTGCTCCATCTGTATCAAATATATCGTGTGTGATAAATGTTGCGAAATAGAAGAGATTGCTTGAAATATGAGATTCACTTCCTTTGAATTTACCATTCTTGTCTGGACAACGTTTCAACAGCTCATCGAAAATAAGACCTGGATCAGGAAGAATATCTGGTTGAGGACGTTTAGGCAAGCAACTTTGAATATATTTCTGACCAGATTTACCAATATTAGGAAAAGCAAGATTATTATTAGAACCATCAGCAAATCTCCATTGATAACCGACTTGATTCTGAAAATTTACAGGCGGATGTGGAAGTAGATTCCAAAGACTACCAATAAACATTTTAGTTGTGATTGCACCAAAATGACTATTATTTGGTAGAGTGTAAAGCATTTTAATAATCTTGTCTATTTGTAAAAGACTGTCATCAACTGGATTTCCAAGCATGATGTTTATTGAGAATTGACATAGCACTAAAGCATCTGCTACAGCATCACCTTTAAGTGTTTTCAGATCCGCAATAGAGCTCTTCCCATCTCTTTGAAATTTATGAAGTTCTGATTTAATAATATGGGTAAATGCCAAAAACTCGGAAGATGGTTGAGTTCGTTGTTGTTCAATAGTTGCAGTATGTGCTGCTTCATCATCAAGTCCAAATAGTTTTTGTAAAGAGAATATTGTTGTCTTCACAGCCATGATAGAAAATTTAAAAGAAAAAAAATAAGCACTGAGAAAACCTTGCTAGTAACATATGCTGTTAATGAAAGATATTTATGTTCATATATTTATACAACACAACAGCGCTGTAGAAAAATAAAAGTAACATGTGTAAATAATGGCACATAATATTTTATTATGAATGTGATTCTAAAGCTATCTTTATTGTTTGCACATGCTACCAACCTATAATAAAAGAATGAAAAAATGATCTTATTTATCAATTATCATTCTGTAACATTTTGTGCTTAATAATTTATTCTTGGCTTAATGTATAATAATTGTATTTTTAAAAGAAAATAAATAAATTTCTTGCACAACTACAAAAAAACATCTCGTCGGAGGCGACATGATGACTCATATAGTTGAGTTACTCAATCTTTCATCGTTTCTTATAATAACATGTCGAAGAATAACAAGAAAAAAAAGCCGTCCACGAGGTTTATTTTTTTTTGAATCATTCTCATTCAGTTTTGAAAAAGTTATTTCATCAATACTAATGTCGAGTATATGTCTTCTCGATTTTCCAGTGGAAATTTTTCATCGTACCTTTGATTATCTTGATACACCAACAATTATTCGATCGCTTCGATGCGTTTGTCGTCAACTCAATAAAATCGTTAATATTTATAATCGGTATGAAATCGATTTAACTTTATTTACAAAAGTTCAATGTGAATTTATTTTACAATCAATTCGTTGTGAAAATATTATTTCATTGATTTTCTCTGCGGATTTCAAAGAACAATCTGATAAAGCAGATTTTCTTCTAACAATTCTTAATATTCAACAATTTTCTTGTCTCCGTTCATTGACACTTTTACACATAAATAAAAATGAATTAGATCGATTTTTGCCATGCATTATCAATTTCTCTTTAATATCATTATCTATTCAGCTGAGTGATTTCTTTCAAACTGCATCACTTTCTTCTCTTTCCACAGCTATTAGTCAACGGAAACTTCGAAAATTACATATCTTTAATGGACATAATCTTATACAAATTTTACCATGGCCTGTTGATTGTAAGCTGAACCATCTGACAATAACAAGTTGTACGGATCAAGAATATCGTTCTATTCTTGAGCATTCTCCTTTGTTACGAACATTCGTTATGGAATACTGTCTAGTAATAGATACGATACCTTCTGTCAAATCAACCTATCTACAATTAACTTCGTTAGTAATGAATTATAGTTCTTTATCATTCGGACAGCTTAATTATTTACTTTCATTGACACCATCACTTGTCCATCTAAAAATAATCAATCATACATGTTATTTTTCCTCTTTATTCGATGGTAATCGATGGGAAGAACTCATTCAATCAAAACTTCGATTGTTAAAAAACTTTCAATTTTGTTTTCGACATACAATTAGAAAATTAAACAGTACATTTTGTACAAATCTACATTCAATAATAAAACAATATCGAACACCATTTTGGTTGGATATTAAACGATGGTTTGTTATTGCTGATTGTATTATGAGATCATCATCCTGTGAAATAATACTTTATACTATTCCAATAACTATTGGTGATTTCAATATCTTAATCAGATGTAAAGCATTTCCGATCAATGATCTATGTTATTTCACAAAGAATTTTTCTAATGAAAATAATCATGATATACAAGAAGATAAAGTATGTTATTTTCATTGAAAGAGTTGAAAAAATAGTTAATTGATTATTTCTGTAGACACTCATTGAACTGAATCTTGAAAATAGTAATAAAATATCAAAAGATATGATATATTTGGCATGTGCATTAAAACACAATACTGTATTCTTCATTTTATTTTTATTTCTCTCAGATTCTTTTTTTCTTTTCATATAGACAATCGTCACACTGAATTTAAATAATAATAATATCGAACGAGAAGGACTTCAATATCTTATTGATGCACTTGAGAACAATATGGTAATTAGAGTGTTGCGAGCTTTCTTTCTTTAGACTCAATACTCACGAACAGTCATTCGCATTTCTTTTCTTAAGACTATTACTACGTTAAGTATGGATGGTAATCAGATTGGAGCTCAAGGAGTACAACATCTAGCTGAATCATTACAAAATAATACTGTAATGCTTATTGTTTTTTAAAGTTCTATATCCTATTATGAATTCAACTTTTTCCATAGACTATTAGGACGTTAAGTATTCGCGGAAATCAAATTGGAGATGAAGGAGCACGACATTTGTCTTATGGACTACAAAATAATAGAGTAATCTCTTGCTTTTAAAATTTTCTCAATATTATACTTACATTTATTATTGACTAGACGCTTACGACGTTAAGAATCAGTCGAAATCAATTTGGAGACGAAGGATTACGACATCTGACTAATGCATTACAACACAGTACTGTAGATATTATTCGCTCTTAGATTTATGTGAAATTTTTATTGTGTTTCTATAGACATTGACAATCTTCAATTATGAAGATAATTATATCAGTAATGATGGAATACAGCATTTATGTGATGTATTTCGAAAAAACACAGTAATTTCATTTTGCTTCTTATTTATTCGATGTCTGAAATTATATTATTTTTCTTGCTAGTCACTGCACACACTTGAACTTGGTAGTAATCAGATCGATGTGTCGAAAGTACAACATCTAGCCAATATGCTTGAAGATAACATGGTAATTACCATCCTCTTACTCTATATTTAGTGATGCCTAGTTTTAATTTTTTGTATAGACACTTACAACTCTCAGTTTGAGAGATAACGACTTGAGCAGCAACGGAACAGAATATCTGGCTAATGCATTACAAAAGAATACAGTCAGTTTCTATATAGATTTATTTCTGATATACTTATCTTTGTTTAGACACTTCGTATACTTAATCTTCGACTCAATCATATTGATGACAATGGAGCAGAATATTTAGCAAATGCTATGATGACTAACACAGTGATATTTCATTTTCTTCTTGTTTTGTTTATTTTTTCACAGAAATTCTTTTGTATAGACACTTACTACACTCTATCTATGGAATAATCAAATAAGAAGTACAGGAGCACGGTGTCTTGCTGATGCATTACAAAAGAATACAGTAACTTTTTCTCTTTGTATTTTTTGTATAGTTTATCACTATTTTATATTTAGACAATTACCACACTTGATCTTGGACGCAATCAAATAGGCACTGCTGGAACAAAATATTTAGCTGATATGTTACGAATAAATTCAGTATATGTGCTAATCTCATAAATTCTTTTTCAAATCTCTCTTTATTTTTACACATAGACTCTTACGACACTTAGTTTATGGGACAATGAAATCAAAGTGAAAGGAGCTGAATATTTAGCTACTGCATTGAGAACGAATAAGGTCATTGTCGTTTTGGTTTCATTTTGTTTAATGTGTATTTATTTTCTTGCAGACACTCACTACTTTGGATATGGGATTTAATCAAATCGGTGATAATGGAGAACAATATTTATTAGATACATTACACACTCATAAGGTAATTTTGTTTTTCTCTCAAAAACCCTCATTGCTTATGAATATTTTTTCTACAGACATTAATAACACTTAATTTGGACAATAATCCTTTGATCTTTACTTAAGATAAAAAAACATGATCTAAAACAGGAAACTGACGAGATTTTTTCATATTAAATAATATCATTTGTTTATTTTTTGTTTAAACAATAATAAACAACAGGATTGAAAACATAATTATACAAGGCATTGTTGCTACATTACGTATTTTACCGAACACTTACGAGGGTGTGCGTGAGGGTGTAATATTCATACGGACACCCACGCCCAGAACCTCAAGATTAGTTTTATGTTCTATTTAGCAAATTCTGCAAATAGTCTCTCAAGAAATATGATAAGATCTTCGAAAAAACTCAGTTGTATTCTGAAAAATGTGATTAAAAATGTTTTTTTCTAGTTTTGAATGATTGAAATCTTGACAGTATGCTGCAATAGCATGGCTACACACTTTCTTGAGCGATTATCGTTTTTCTAACTTAATCCTAGTTCAAAAACAGTGGTAAAGTTATCAGGAACCGGCAATATCTTGTTTTGAATTTTGTCAAGATCTTGAAATTCTGAGGCTACATGACTCTGATCATATCTGTCAAGGATCTGATAAGGAAACATCAAAGATTTTCTCTAGGACTATCGTTGCAAATATGGAAATTGATTGACATTCATTTTCCAAAATAATAAATTAGTATCTTTTTTTCTTGTTTTCTTAATAAAATACGTATATAATATAAGAAGTGCAAAAATGATTTAAACCACAAGACAAAAAATAAAAACAAAAGAATTTGAAGATTATCAAGTGTCATTAATCAGGGATGTGGTGAAGAGAGAAAAATGAATGAGGTGCAAAAGTCATGTTTTCAAAATCAATAATGCGTTCCCAAAATTTTCAAAAGTGGCAAGGAGTGCAGAATTTTATTTTTTCATCTGACGATCTTTACTTTCAATAGCAACCACAATTTCTACTGAAAATGGCAAAGTGGGGCCTCCGTCGCTCCCCGTATCATCGTCTGTATCTGTATCTGGGTTTGGTTTTGGTTTTGGTTTTGGTTTCGGTTTTGGATTTGGATTTGGATTTGGATCAACAGGTGGTGTTGGTGTTCCTTCCGATGAATCATCCAAATAATGAGGAAAACCCGGAAATGATGTGTGTGGATGTATACAAGTTGAATCGCATTGGTGTGGCTTATTTCCAAGCCCTCGTAGTTTTTCATAAAGCATTCGTGCTCGATCTTTATCATCATCAGTTTTGCCTCCATTTGTTACAAAAGCGGGCGGTTTTTTTCCAAAATCAAATCTCTATTGGAAACAAAAATGAAATTTATTTGTTCTTAATTTATATAATATAAAGAACAAAAGCGCATAAAGATCATTTTTGAGCTGCCATTAACTTTTTCATCGTTTATTCAATGGGACAATTTCACAAGGATTCGTTTTAATACGTAATAAAATAAAGATGTTTCCGAAAGGTTTACATATATTTTTGATGAAAATATAAATATTCACTTTTGTATTACAAATAGATAATTTCTGATCTGAAATATCTCATTTAGAAAAAACCAAACATGTATGTTTTTCCTAAATATGTAAATTATCTATTTATAATACAATAGTGAATATTCATATTTTCGACAAAAATATGTTTAGACTTTTCGGAAACATCTTTATTTTTATTATTAAACGAATCCCCGTGGAATTTTCCCATTGAATAAACGATAAAATGATGAAAACTAATGGCAGCTCAAAAATGATCTTTATGCGGTTTTGTCCTTACTGGTGTATTCGATTGAATTGGTTGAGCATGACTAATATGATCTTTTGGATAAGCAATAACATATATTTTATTGTGTTTACCAGCAACTAAACTTTTTGTTGACAAATGAATATCTTCTAGTGATTTAACGAATCTATATGCAATACCATTAACATATAATTCAAAATGATCAATAAGATCAATTGTATGTGTTGGTTGAATTTTAACTGTTGCATTTATTTTGGTTGGATATTGTATTAAAAGTGAAAGATGTATTCGACAACTGTCCCATGGAGAGTCAGGTATGTCACTGTCCTGTGAAGAGTCAGAGCTGTCACTGTCTTGTCGAGAGTCTAATCTTCCATTGTCCAAAACAAATGTTGGTCTAAAATAACATGAAAAAATAAAATCTAAATTCGACACATATTGAAAATGAAAATTCAGCTTATTCCTCTTTTGTGTTTATAGAAGTATAAGAAGCACTGGAAAAAATAATTTCTAGAATTTTTGTGCGTACTAATATATAGGACTGCAGAACAAGCAGTTTTCTACAAGGTAAGAAATCAGCGAAGTGTGCATGATTTACGGTTCAGTGTTTATTGGAGATTTCATACATAACTCCGTGGGTCCCCTGCTTTCAGATTTTCCTTTAAAATAGTAAGAATATGACCGAAACCCGCGGTACATCCATGCATAACTCTAATAAGAAACAAACCGAGAAATCCTGATCGAGACTCTCTGAATAGATACTGAATTGTGAATTATAGAACTCGTCAATCTTTTATGTTCATTTTTTAGGAAGCTTTATATTTTCTCTGTCATCGTGGCTACAAGTTGATTTGCTTTTTGTCTTCTAAATGTTATTTAGATTTAGTTTCAAACTTTCGATCCATTGAGCAACACTTGGTTGTCAATAAACATGAAGGATCCGAGTTCGTTACTGTAATCAATAAAGTCTCGATTACTTGAGATTCACATCTACTAAGGGAAAAACAGCAGATTTTAAGTTCTCAAAACCTCATGACACCAGGTATATTTAATGGATAATAATAATAAATTTGATAAATGTACTTGAAGACGAGAATTGAAAAGTAATTAATCTATTTTTTTTATTCAGGTAGAAACTGTTTTTAATAGTACGAACAAAACTAGGCGTTCTTGAATTCAGACAATTTCGAAATATAAAATATTAATTAAACAAACCTGCTGTATTGAATGAAACTTGATAATTTTTCATCTAACGTTGAATAAGCACGTAAAACATGTAAACCTGTTGGACGCAAATGTACACCATTATTTCGATTATAAAGCTAAATTAAAAAAAAAACAAAAAAAAATTTTTTTTTTCCTTTTATTATTATTTACATGAACATTTCTATAGTGTTGTGTTGGAGGTGAACCATCAAGTGTATAATAAATATTAGTATTACGATGATTTGAATCATCTAAATGTATTATTGTATCAAATTCACTAACATCATGGATATATTCCATTATTTGAGGTTTTTGAAGTCGTTTCTCTATTCAAGTTGAAAAAAAGAAATAAATCGTTTTGTTTTTTTTCAAATAAAACACTTACTATGCCTTGCAACATCAATATCTCCATAAACAACTACAATTGCTGTTGTATCCGGAAAACGATCGGATTTAATAATATATTTTCCATGTTGATTAAATGTATGTAAACGATGAATACCATTAACATATTCAGCAATATTTTGATTAATTGCAATATTCTTTAATTAAAATTCATTAGAATTAATTCGAAAGACGAAGAAGAAAAAAATTACTCTATCGTCACTATTGTCATTGTTAATTGATTGTAGAGAAATTCGATGATTTGAAGCATGATCATTTAATACCCATGATACTGTCTCACTCTATGTTTATAGTAATAAAAACAAATTTACTTAAAGAAAATTATTTACTTCTGCAACATATAAAATTTTCGGAACAAATTGTTGATTAATAAGACAAAAAGAATTTTGATTAAATGGTGGATCAATAATAATTGTTGATATAAGTCGATTCTTTTAAAAAACAAATAAAATAAAAAAATATTTTTCTTTTTTTTATAATTTACTTTATATGCACCAGTAACTCGTTCAAAATCTATGAATAATAAAAAGTTCTTATTAATATTTACTTTTTTTTCTCATACCTGGACTACAAAAATAGGATGCTCCAGATGGAATAGATTTACAATGTACAGCAAGACATTGTCGAATTCTTCCAACAGTAGCTCGATCATGACATGACATTATATCATTATATGTGTCATTTAAATGTAATTTAACAAGATTATAAGAAATAATTTTGTCGAATTGCCAAATAACAAAATCATTTGGATTTGTTGTTATAATTGGATCATCATTAAATTTTCCTTTACTGATTAATTTACGATGAAAACGAATTTCAGGTAGAACAATTATTGTTAATGGATGTGTTGAAGATTGTTTAGACTTTTGTTTATTAGAATTATTAATATCCGTTGAAAAATAATAAATGCCTAATTGCGAAAATTCTTTAATAAAATAATTAATACTATTTTCTTGTGGTTGAAATAAGATTTTTTTCGGTTCTGATTGATTATCATATTCATTAATTTGATATAATATTCTACCTCTTCTTGATGATGATGGAAGAAATTCTACGTGATCAAGACGATTTATTACTAATGTATGTGGTTTGAATATATTCTGTTCATCATACATAACACTATGAGTCTATTTAAGAAAGATTTTTTTTTTCATTAGAAAAAAAAAGAATTACTTACATGACTACCATTTTTAACAATCAGACTTATTAGAGGATAATGAGGATTGTCGGAATAAGCAAAATTGTAAAAACCATATTGAGGAATATTTAAAAGAAATGTTTCACATGAATGAAAATAACGACGAAAGAATGGTTCTATTCTTGTACATTGATGCGCACCTAAAAATATATAATAATGAGGTTATGTCTTCGTGTTTTTTTTATTGAATTATTTAAGCAAAGAGATGATTTTTTTGTAGTAATGAGCCATGCAAAAGTCAAGCTATCTTAGACTGTCTTACTAAGTTCTAAACAAGTGAATTTTTTTTATTGAAAAGGGCAGAATCTAAATTACAAATTTTGTAGCAGACGTTTTTTCAATTTATAAGTTTTCGGAGCTTAGAAAATTTTGAGGGTGTGGGTGAGGTGGGCTGAGCCCATCCTGAAATCTTTTTTAGATCTTATATATATAATGCTGAGCCCACCCTAGTCTAAATTCCTGGCGCCGCCGCTAAGTATTGGCTCATTACATCAGCGCGTGTTTTAGAAATATAGAACGTTTTTACCTTCTACTTTTCATTTACGACCTTGATTTTATCTATTCTTTTGTTGTATTAATCTTCGATACACTCTCAGATTGATCTACTTACGACAATGAAACATTCCAGTACGATTATCAAGATCATCTGGTATTCGTGATGAATTTGAATCAATAGTAATTAATACCGGTTCTTCTGGTGTATCATACTGATTCCAATTGAACTGAACTAAACCTTTTGTATTCATTTTATAAACTATAAATAAAAAGAATTTTTGTATTTAAAAATATATTTCTTTTTTTTTATTTACTTAAACGATCACTATGAATCGATACATGACGAATAGTTTTCAGTGGTTCAACAATAATCGTACCAATTTGACCATCTGCAGTTTTAAAACAATACACACCTGTTTCATTAAATTGATGATACATATAACCATAACGTGATGGTTGATGTGGCCAAAAAAAATGTTCACCAATATTTGTCATCTAATTAAAATAGAAAAATTTTATTTTTATTTTGTTTTCCTATAAAATACAAACTTCAATTGATTGTTGATCTTTATCAGTACGAAATGGTTCGATTTGTACAATACTTTGTGCATGTTTACCATGCCATTCAAACATAATCCAATCATGTTGTTCAATATGAATAATATTTGGTTGAATCTTATTATCAGTTATTAATATATGTTTTATTTTATATTCATCATTAACAATACAAGTAATTACATCATAAATTTCATTTGTATCAGTATAACGAAATAAAAATGACATACCAAGTTCATTAAATGTTTTTCTATACATTCCTTCGGCTAATGTACTATCAAATGTTTGTTCAGGAGTATAAAGACCACCAGATATTGGACAATATTTTTTTTCTTCAATACGATAGGTAATATCATCTTCTGATGACCATGTAAGTTCAATTGTATCGCCTTTATGTAAATAAACTTTTTGATTTGTTTTCTGATTCATTAGAAAATATTTCTGTACACGTCGTTGTATTACAAGATGATTTATTGTACAATAAGCCAGTGGACATATACCTGTTTTTGATATTTCTCCACGTCTCGATGATGGAATAACACAAAAAATGAACTCAGTTTCAGATAAATCTGGATCAAGAGCTAATGAAAGGAACATACATCTCTTTTCTTCTGGTGTACAGTATGTTATATTGCATAATTCAAAACCATTATATATTTTGTAATAATCATTACCATTTCGATATACTTGAAATATATCATATTTACCTATTCTATTTACGTTAAATTCCATAATATCACCACATTGTACTGGCGCTAAATAACGAGGATCACGAGTAGTAACGTTTACGTTACGGATATTTTTGTTTTGTTTAACATCTTGAATCTTATCAATTGGCATATAATGTCGTAAGAAAGCCATGAGGCTGTTTCCTAAACAATGAAGAATTGTTTAATTTGTATTTTATATAGGCTTATTTAAATTCTTAATCATAAAAGAAGACGAATAACGATCAATTCGGATGCTATAAAATCATGTTTCAATTATTTTAGAACTTCGTATTAATTATGAACAGATATGATCTCGATTTTAATTTATGGAATTAAAGTACTAATCTTGAGGATGTGGGTCTTATTTCCATTTATACCTACACCCTCAAGATGTAAGAAAGTGCTTGTAATTTACTTTGTAGTTTTGTATAAGAGTGATGTGGATATTTGAAAGAATGTTGTTGGAAATCTTTTCAGGATGTTTTCTAAGATCGCAGCTGATTTTGAATAGTAAATAAAGGGTTTTTGAAGAAACATTTTTTATGCCCTTTGAAATCTCTATTTCAATATATCTATGAGCCTTAATTTCGATGAAACAGTTGGTTTGTAATTAGAGGACATATATGTTTTTCACACTCGGATACTATGCTTTACGACTACTAACGATCGTCATAATGAGATTTCGATTTTACTGTAAAATTGTAGTAAAAAGTCGATATCTCAGCTGGATCAAAACGTGCGCCCATATTGTCTTAGCCTTTTACTAGTCTATACGCCATCTACTTAGAGACAAAATTTAAGGTCAAAAGCTTTTTATCACTTTGAAAGTTTCCTTCGTATGTCAATTATTCACGTTCTGCTGCTAATAAATATTCAATGCAAAATAAAATCAAATGAAATGAAAAAAGGTTATATAATCGTATTCTTGCAATTAAAGATATTAATCATGGTACACACTAAAAATGATATACGAAAGGTACGCACGGAACGGAAAGTAAAATATACTAAAATAGAATTATTCTCACTAAGATCTGCACGTCCATCATCACCTTTTCCCCTCAGTCACCGCTCTTAGAATCGCGTGCGGATCTTTCAGGATCCCATAAGCAAGACTATTTCCTCTTTTCATAGTCGATTATATAATTTCTGATTTATCTGAAAAAACGAGATGAAATAAAAATAAACCAAACCTTCACAGCCCCATCCCTTGATTATAATTTCTCGTCTGTCATATTTTGGAGGTTTTCCACCAGTATCAGTTGGTCTGCAAACAGCTGCCACACAAAGCATATCGTCAACGTTCAAGCAAAAGAGATGAATATAAAGATGTTTTCAGGAATTACAACTCTAAAAAAGATGCAAAACATTATTGCAACAGACAAGAAAATTCAAATAAATGAGTATATGCTCGTACACAAATAAATAAAACAATGATCTATAAGCACACGGATGAAAAGAAATTTTCAACCTTTATCTTTTAGTCCAATTTATTTAGTATATAAACTTAAATGATATCTAGATGGTGTGGGTGTGTGTAAGATAAATAAGATACACATACACCCACATCCGCACACTTACCGTATTATTTTGTTGTCTCCCTTATACTCGAAATATATATAATTCAAATAACCTTCTTGAAGTGTCGATGTTAATTCAAATCGGTTAACGACATAATCTATACTTCAAAACTAAATTAAAGGAAAACTATAAAATACGAGAATGTATAATGAATTTGGTGAAGCGAGAAGAAATATCTGATTGTGTCTGAGAAGTTACATGTTAAAAAATTATAATCTCGCCTTAATGTAGACTTTTATTTCTAATGGATGATCATCGGAGAAAAAGTATTTCAAACATTCACTTTTTAAATAAATAATTGTATTTTATTTTTCTACCGAGACGGAGAAAGAACGAAAAATGCGGCGCTCCTACGCGTAAAAATGTGCGCTTTTTACACATCGAGAAAAAAACCTTTTGAAAGCAAAATGATGCAGACATTCTTTGTTGTTAGCAACTCCACCTTTTTTTACAAACAAAGAATTGCTCTTCAAGGGTAAAACGCACACATTTTTATACATAGAAACGCTGTATTTTTCATTCCTTCTCTCCCCGAATAATAAAGTCTTGGTTACATCATTTAGTAAGCTTTTTGTTATGAATTTTTTTGATACCCCTGAGATAAATTGTTTTCGGTTACTCTGTTAAGTGAGGTGCCTTTTTCGCGGAAAGTGGATTTTTATCAATAAGTTGGGTGTGGGTGTGGGTGTGGGTGTGGGTGTGGATGGGTGGGTGTGGGTGAGTGTGTCAATACAAAGATAATATAATATCCACCGTACATACACCGCCGACAACCATGCAGACATCCGCACCCACACCTACACCCATACCTATCCACACCCATACACACATCCTCATCCTCTTCCATCTTCACCATCACCCTCACCCACTCGCCTACACCCACACCCTCACACGTCTTGAATAAGCTTATTTTGGTGAATGATAAAATATAATAAAAGTGAATTTCAGGTTTTGACTGATCAAGCTGAAATTTACAAGAGTAACTAATAACTCTAATTTCTTTAATGACTGAAAGTTTCATATGAAACTATCTTCATTCTCTAAGTGAGCCAAAACAGTTCCAAAACATCCTCCACCTTTGAGTAAAAAGAACATTAGATTCAAATAAAAAAAGTCAGCTTTTAATTAAAAAAAAAACAGTTTAAAGAAAAAAAATCAGTTTAATCAGAAAAATTTGAGTCCTGATCTAGGTGCAGTGTAAAGCGGTTCTAACCGCACAGGAAAATCTCTTCTTGCTTCATAACGGGATTGCAAGTGTGGGACCGGTCGTGTTTTTATAAACCAAATAATTGCAATTATAGCAGCAACTAACAGAAGAAAACCGATTACGCCAAAAATAACTCCAACAATTAAGCCAACAGGGGGCGGGATTCCAGTCGTGGTCGTAGTCGTAGCTGTAGTTGTAGTTGTCGTTGTGGCTGAAGTTGTAGTTGTAGTTGTTGCTGAAGTTGTAGTTGTAGTTGTTGTTGAAGTTGTAGTTGCAGTTGTGGCTGAAGTTGTAGTTGTAGTTGTAGCGGATGTAGTAGTAGTTGATGTAGTACTTGTCGAAGTACTACTTGTTGAAGTAGTACTTGCTGAAGTACTTGTTGTTGCACTACTTGTCGATGAAGTACTTGTTGACGAGGTACTAGTTGAAGAAGTACTACTTGTGGATGTGGTAGCTGTTGTTATGCTTGTGCTTGAAGTACTGCTTGTGCTTGAAGTGCTGCTTGTGGTCGAAGTACTGGTAGTTGTAGCGGTAGTACTTGTCGTTGAGGTACTAGTACTTGTTGCGGAGGTGCTAGTACTAGTTGATGAGGTAGTGGAACTTGTAGTTGAAGTGCTAGTACTTGTTGTGGAAGTAGTACTTGTAGTTGAAGTGCTAGTAGTTGAAGTTGAAGTGCTAGTGGTACTGGTTGTGCTTGTTGCTATTTTTTTATAGAAACAGAAAGATATGATAATTACGCTAAAGAATAGAATATAAAATCTAATTTCTATTGGAAAAAACATCAAACTTGTGTTCAAACTTTATGAACTCGGGCACTTATTAACGTTTAGATAACATTCAAAAAGATGACTGCTACTTCATGAGACTTTTTCGCGTTGGAATATTATACGAACGAATGTGGGTCCATGGATGAACATGCCACCCACACCTACTCTCAAAAGAAAATGAAGTGCTGCAGAAAATGCGAGCGACCTCACGCGTTTAGAGTGTTTGAGATATGTACGATCATATTCCATATTATAGAAATTTCATGAAATGTCTAAGGCTTCTGGAATATTCATGGAATCCATAAGTCTTATGAAGTCCGTGAAGCTTCGTGAAGTCTTTGTAAATCTTTCAAAGCTTTGTGAAAATTTTAAATCTCTTTGGTTTAAGTTCAGGAAAGCTTTTTGAAGTGTTGAAGTCCTAAAGTCTGCTGTTTCTTCCTAGATACCTACACTCTACGTTAGTGTCTCGTTACACAATTAAATTTGGAAAAAAGATTTTTTTAGTATATACATATATATATCCGTTAATATAATAGATACACGACTCTTACTGGATGTTGTCGTTGTTGTGCATGTGCAAGTACAAGTACATCCGTTACCAGCTATACATGAATTCGGACCCAGGGTCTCTGTAGTTGTAGAAACTAATACTTCAATAAATAAATAACAAAGATACTTTAAAAAAACTTTTAGAACATCATATAACATACCAGTCGTCTGACCATTAAGAGTACTAACACCAAATATTAAAACCAATATGAAGAGTTGCCAAAGACTCTGTTAGTGAAAAGAAAAATTATATAAAAATACATGAAGGAATATAAGACTTCAGTATGGTGTGGGTAGGTGGATGTGGGTGTGTGTGAGATAAATAAGATAAGCCGACATCCACACCCACACCCGTCAAAATATTCCACAGGACTATCTAAGAAATTTTTCGCGAAAGTTGCACTTGTACAGAATCTCTGCTGCTGAACTGGCTAATACAGTCCGATTATTAAAAGTTCGCATTGATTAAATTTTTGGTTGTCGATTTCAGCAGAAAGCAAACCAAACTGAAACTTACCGTATTATTTTGTATTGTCTTCCCCATAGTTGATATGTATGTAATTCACACAATCTTCTTGAAGTATCGATGCTAATTCCTATCGGCTAACCGCATAATCTATGTTTCTAAATTAAATTAAAAGAAGACTATAAAATACGAGAATGTGTAATGAATTTGGTGCCGAAAGATGAAATATCTGATTAACTCAGAGAAGTTACATGTTGAGGAGGAGCTCGTAGTGTTCATTCTCATTACTTAATTGTTAGGATGAAATGAGAAAAAAATTACAATCTCGTTGGTGATGTAAACTTTTATTTCTGATGGATGATTGTCGGAGAGAAGCTATTCAAAACATTCACTTGTTTATATGAATACTTGAATTTTCTTTTTCTATCCAGACAGAGAAGGAATGAAAACTACGGCGTTTCTATGCGTAACAAGGTGCACTTTTTACACATCGAAAAAGTTGTTTTAAAAACAAAATGAAGGAGATGTCCTTTGTTGTTAGCAGCTCGATTTTTTTACAAACAAAGAATTTTTCTTCAATAGTAAAAAGTGCACACATTTTTATACATAGAAACGTCGTGTTTTTCATTCCTTCTCTCCCCGAGTAATAAATTCTTGTATACAACATTTTGTTGGCTTTCTGTTATGATGCTTTTAACATTCGTCGAATAAATTATTTTGGTTAAGAATGTGGGTGTCAGTGTGGGTGTGAATGGGTGAATGTGGGTGTGTGTGAGATAAATAAGATACACCCGCACCCACTCACCCACAATCGCTCTCACCCACACCCTTGCCTGTCCGGGTAATAAAGCCTTGATTACAATATTTAGTCAGCTTTCTACTATGATTTTTTGGGAAAGAGACAAAACGCACCAACTTTTTTTTACGATTTCCCTGAAGAGATGCTCGTCCCGACTTCCCGACATACAAAAACATGCATAATCTTCGGAATGTCAAAAATTCAAAAAATAAGCAGGGTGTTCGGGATGAAAGTAACCGGAAGATCGTAGCAATGAAAATATGCAGATCGTAATGAAAAGAGGCAGGATGTTCGTAACTATGTTCGTGTGTGCACTTTTTTTGAGAGATTTTAAATGACTCAGTAGCTTGTATTTTAAGATAATGAACAAAACAATGTTTTTATGAATACAATAAATCTTTTTCAACTCAGAAAAAAGCACAAGAAATAGCATAGATAATCAAACAAAGTACAAAAAATAGAAAACTAAATCATAGAAAAGAATAGAGACATTTGTTTTAATGTTGATAAAGAATAGGGATTTCTATCATAAGAAAAAAAGTGAGATGTGCACAGAAACGGAATGTTATTTTTTCATCCGTTTATTTGTTGTACCACGACTCTTAGCCTTCATTGCTTTACCATTTGTGGGAGTGGTTACATAATACTTTTTCCCACGCCCTCACTCTAATATTTACATTCTCCTTAAGATTAGTGCCCTCTATAAGTATTATAATATATCTACGATCTCCAGGTAAAATGAGTTTACGGACACCCGGTCATTTTCATCCCGATTTACTGACAGTATTAATTTACATATAGTCGACCACTTCGTTTCGATTTCCCTGTTTTTTTTAAAATTATAGTCGCCTAATAAACTTTTTTACGGACTCCCGGTAAAAATGGCAAAAAAAAAAGTCGAATCCGAACACATAGACAAATTACCAGGTGTTCGGGATGCCTAGTACGTTTTGTCTTTGTCCCGATTTTTTTAATATTCCTCAAGCAAATTATTTTGGTTTATTGTATTGAGAGCGGCGCCTTTTTCGCGGAAAGTCGATTTTGATCAGTGAGTTGTAGATCATTAGTGCTGGAGTGGGGATACGGGTGTGGGTGTGGGTGTGCATGAGTGTGGGTGAGGATGTGGGTGTGTGTGAGATGAATAAGATACACTCGCACCCACACACTGAATTACTCCACATATTAAAAATTGATCCTTTTCTGATATTTGCTACACAATCTTATAGATATGGATGTCATCCTGGACTAGTTCTAATTAAAATTCTAATCTATATTATTTCTTATCAAAATTCCAATCCGTCCTTCTCCGCTGTGAACAGGTCATCTTAGAATCTCAGACTATCCTAGTTCAAAACAGAATTTCAAACTTGACTAGTTCAATATGAGATCGTTCTATATCGTACTAGTAATAATAAAAATTCTTATTTATTTTGGGGGTGGGGGTGGGTGTTGATATCCTTTCTATATTCATCATTACTCACATCCTGTCTTTAACAATTCCTCTTCCAAATCCTGATCTCATGTAATTTACCAAACCTTTTAACAATATATCACAATGTCAAGAACTAGTGGAAACAAATCTTCGAAAAATAATTATATTATTTGTTTGGGATGAAAATATTCAGCAATGGTTAGTTGATGCAGCGAGTATACCAATAAATCTTCATGAAATTAAAATATTCTATAATTCCTGTGATCGATTATTTGCTGATGCATCGATACGACGATATATGCATCGATTTAGGAATACTACGTTCGAAATAATCACTGATGAAAAACTCAATTATAGCTTGATGCTATTTGGAGTTGATCATTTGAAGAGATTATATACAGAATTTCAACCAAATTCATCTTCATATCAAAAGCATTTGTCGTGCATTAGCTAACTATTTTTGGTACGATGCTAATGCTGAATAGGTTATGTGAGACTATAGACAATATGTAGGCGTATATAATTTAGTTTTTGTTTTGAAGTATCTAGATCTTACATTGATTATGATCGATACTCTCAGGAAAAGAAAAATAATTATTTCCCGTAATAAAATTTATTATCTCTATAAAATTTTCATTTTCATAATTATATATCTTGCATTCTTTATATGTCAGACATGAAAAATAGACAGGTTATTCAAGCGCAAAACCCACATCATACATATTAAATAAGAAAATAGTACTTAGTTGTCTATCTATAGAATCCGACATGAATCAGTAATATTTTTTTTAGAATTTATAAGCAACGAAGCGGAAATTGACAGAAATATAGGAAGGAAATAGTGAAGAATCAGAGTCTTATCATGACATTCTGCTTAGATGATTACATATATCCGTCAAGTGTAATTAATACGCAGGATGTTGTAAAAAAGAAAATGTAGAAAAATTATATGCGACATTTATTCTGTTATCGTTCTTTTGGAAAATGACAACGAATACAAATGATTCTGAAGATGCATTTGAAAGCTTGGAAGTATCCATACCACGTCCAATTCGATTTTGGCTTTTTCTTCTAAGTGATTTTCCATCGATTATCTGCAGTTTTATACTCTTAATTTATTTTTTCAAGAATCAAACAGCTCGACAAACATTAAATAATCATGTGATTATTATTCTAATAATATTCGGTTTAGGAGTTGAATTGATTGATGTACCTTCTCATCTCGCATATATAATCAACTCAGGTATTGTAAAACCTTCAACTCCAGCAACATGTCTGATTTGGTGGTTCGTAACATATGGGTTATATAATGGTGAACAAATTTTTTTAGCTTGGGCAGCAATTGAACGACATATTTTAATATTCAATGCTCAATGGACGCTAACAAAACGTGGTCAATTCTATGCTCATTATTTACCTCTAATTATTCTTCTTTTGTATGTATTGTTATTTTATATTTATGCTATTTTTTTATTTCCATGTGAAAATACATATGATTATACGTTACCCGTATGTAATGCATCTCCATGTTATCAAGATGATCCAATAATGGGTATGTGGGATTTTATTGTAAATAATCTCCTGCCTGGATTGTTGATCGCTTTTGTGAGCATTATTCTCTTAGTTCGTGTTATACGACAAAAACAACGACTCAAACAACAAATTCAATGGCACAAATATCGTAGAATGACAATACAACTACTATCGATGGCAATATTAGGTATTATTTTTATTTTACCATTGAATCTACTTTCACTTGCTCATTTATGTGGTTTATTTGAAGATATTGGTGCAGAAGAAGAACAATATTTGTTCTATATTGCATATATATTTACGTTTCTTATTCCGATTGTTTGTTTATATTCAACACCAGAACTGTACAAGAAAATCAAGATGAAATTATGGTGCCGCAGACAACACCGTATTGGTGTGAATACCATAAACGATAGAACAAATAATACGATTCGATAATAATCATATGAGGGTGAAAATAAATATAATATTCACCCATATCCATCTGCCCTCAAGGATTTCAGAAGCTTTAGTAGTTATGATTATTTCCTATATATTTTTTATTATATTATTGGTATGAATAAAAGGAAAGTACAACAAAATATTTTGAATTTTAATGAAATGATTAAAAGCAACAAAAATAAATAGAGAAATACTGATGCTATCTACAAAGATGAGGGTGTAGATTCAAGTAAATTTAAGAAATAGGACAAAGTTAAATTTTAATCTTTGCTAGGCGAAAATGATATTAAACACTAAACAAAAATCATCCACCGTCGATAAAAGGGTGAGGGTGTGGGTGGGGTTCCGGGTGTCGGCGTTTTTATTTTTAATCTACCCACACCCACACCCACACCCACACCCTCAAGATGTGATGAAACAGATTTTATAACTTTTACAAATACTGATCTATTTCAATTTGTCTCGAATGTCAATATGATTCAAAATCTTAAGTATGTATGATTTCTATCGTCGAAATTTCATGATATTGCTCGGCATCTTATTTTATTATCTATTTGTACTACTAAAGGAAAATATTTAGCATCATTAAAAGAACTTATTGAAGCAAAAGAATGTGTACAGAATTGCTTTCTAAAAATTAAAAATCGACACGTGCATTTATAGCGATACTATAGTTCAAGAAGCAAAAAATGTATCAAGTAAAGTTATAATCTGTCCGAGTTTAGTATTAAGACCAACACAAAGAACCACCATTTGACAATTACCTTTCTTAACTTGTGTACCAGACCAAAGTGCAATATCATACTTTTCATTTTTGTGTCTTAAACCATCTCCTCCTAAAAATGTTCAATTTTATTGATTAATTGATACAAGATAAACACAATCTTAAGCCTGTTATGAGAATTTCATCGATTATCATATCGCCTAAAAATAATTTAAAATAATCATATCCATTACTCAAAGCTTTTTACCAGCTTTCAATACACGTATATCACCGGCAACAACAACTTCGGTAACAAGAATTTCTTGTATTTGATTATTGCGAAGAACAGTTTTTTAACGCTCCTCATATTTTTGACTAGATTCTTGTTCTGTTTTTCATGCGCTAAATACAATCATACGAAAATCTATATATAGACAGTAAATTGCATACGTAGTAAATGGTATATATAATTTATTTTTTTCAAAAGCTGTATGACGTTATTCGAGATCATGATGCATGATCATTGGAATTACGACCTTTAGTTTTGTCAACTTTTAATTTTTCTAATATGCCATTAATATCATTATAATCTGGTGAATGAAGTTTTTCAATTAATTCTGCATCGCATACATCCATAAGCTCTTTGATTTGATCACGTATTAGACCAAACATAGAAGAATAATCACCGCCAGCAACATATTCATCAGTTTTTGGTTTCCATTTGAAGAATAATATCAGAATATTAAACATTTGTTTTTTATTTTAATGATTACGAAATATAATGTTGTCAATCAGAACAAACGTGATATATGAAAAAAGAAAGAAACGGACTATGGGTTTTTCTGTACAATGCGAGAATACTGCAGAACGAAAGAAAAAAATGGTAAAATGGCATTAAAAACAATGTTTGCAGTCAATACGGAAGCACTATAAAAGATTAAAAATATAATTTTGAATTTAAAATAACGAATTCGACTATAATGTGAGTCAACATAAAGTCTATACAACAAAATAAATTCCATCATTTTGTCATAGGCAAAACCTCGACAAAGGTAAAAATGTTTTAGGAATGCAAACAGGGTTGTATAATTTCATCTTATAAATTCAAATAATACTGTGTCAACTTAATAAAAAATATACAAAAATGATCATGAAGTGCGTCCATATAAAAATAGAAGTTTTGATTGTTATGCGTCATTATTGAAACTGACATATAAGTTTCATTTTTATAAATACGTCGTTGATATTGAATATTTAATTGTTCAATAAAGATAAATGAGAGAATTGTATGTGGACCAGCACGAGAAAAATAAGGTGTAAAACCCTTTCAAAAATTCAATATTCCTTCTTGACGAAATATACATTGAAATACATCCTAAAATTGATTAAGAAAAAATAGACCAGATTTTTAGTTCTATGTTCTGTCAATGATCGTTCATGATGAAAAACTACATTTCATATTTCGTGGAATATCATTCGAACGCGTTATATTGAAAAAAAGAGTAAAGTATAGTAAAAAAATTGTTATGAATACTGACGAAACACGAATAGAAATATCACTTCTGTATTTAAACGATTATGAATAGATGTTTGTATAATTATAATATCAAAAAAAAACTTTGAGAATGACAGAAAATATTGATAATATAAAACTATTAATTTGTATCGAAACTGTTGCATTTCAACTATTGTCTATTATTCGATTAAATATTATTAGTCTATGGTTCAAAAGATTTTTAAAAAAATATATATATGGTTCTCATGAATTCTGATACGGATGTCGTTCGAAATGAAATCGAACTATAGATTTCTTTGTAAAGAAAAAAGGATTGAAAAGAAGTCCGTATATTCTATCACATTTGAGAGTATGGGTGTGAGATTAAAATCCACTGCTTACATCAACACCCACACCCTCAAGATGTGGAGCATATTAAAAAATAATAATATTTCAGATTTTATAACTCTTTTGTTTCATAATAATTCAAAATTATCTTTATCAAAATCTACAATTTAACGAGTAATATTCCTATTAACTTATATTTAAATATTAGATATTTATCATTTATTTTTATTTTTTTCAATAACATCTGCGCATTGACAAATCATAGCCTTTTATTATTCGTTGTTTTTTGTATATACACAGACCTATTGCGAGTTCGATCAACATTACTATTAATGAAAGATCAAAACAAACGCTTATCGTATCAAAAACAATGAATTATTATTATTATTTTTTGATTTTGTATACTTGAGAAATATTTTAAAACATTACAATAAAGCTTACTTGTTTTTCTACTTTATCAACTCAATAATACTAATAATAAAAAGAATGCAAAAGCTTTATCAAAAGAACAATAAATCACACAAAGAAAGAAAGAACCGTATCAAATTTCTCATAAAAAATATTTCTCTCTAAACTATAATCATATCAAAGATCATACATATTATTGAGTATAGAACTGATTTCACGTAATTCTATTGCGTATACGTTATATAGAGAGGTTCTTTCAGTATAAAAAACAAACTAATATAATCGAAAAAAAAGAGATAAAAACGCAAAGTTTTGTCTATTATTTAATAACGAGAAAGAGCATAGTATGTGTTTAATCGAATATTGAAACAAAGTGGTGTCACAAGAAAAAAAAACCCAATCAGTTATGCTCTTCATTTATTTTGGATTAGTGTTGAATTCAATTGGAATTATTTCTTCTCAAGCTGTTAGTCCTTACAATGGTCGAGTAATTAATTTTGAAAGTAACGGAGGTATTGCGGACAATAGTTTATTAAGTACATGTTGGGCTAATTCATATCTTCTTAATCAAACATTTGCATCAATGCAAAATGGAGATACATTACTTATACCATCTAATAAAACATTTTGGTTAATGGGTGGTATTTATGCAAGTGGTCTTTTTAATGTAACTATTCAAATTGATGGAATTCTTAAATTTTCTAATAATCAAATTGTATGGCCACGTGATCCTCAAACAGGACAAGTTCATGAATGTTTCTTCTTTGAACAATTAAATTATGTTACATTTACTAGTTCATTACCTGAAGGAAAAAAAGGTATTATTGATGGATCCGGTGCAGGTTGGTGGGGTATAACTCAATATTTAATAATTGGTGAAAATCGACCACGTTTAATTTCAATCTACAATTCTACAAATCTTTTAGTTGAAAATATTCTATTAAAAAATTCTCCTTATTGGACATTCTTAGCAAATGATACTGCTTATTTAGAAATTCGTTATACAGATGTTGATGCACGTATAAATCCATATGCACAATATCATGATCTTGTTGAAATACAAGCTTTTAATACTGATGGTTTTGATGTTGCTGGTACAAATATATGGATTCATGACTGTAATATTTGGAATGATGATGATTGTATTGCAGTTAAACAACAAACTTCAACTAGTATTCATTCTTCTTGTAGTGAAAATATGCTTTTCGAACGTATTAATGCGTCTGGCCTTGGTTTAACTATTGGTTCTATTACTCCATCAGCAAATCATAGTTGTATTCGTAATATTACATTTCGTGATTCTACAATGTATAATACTTATAGAGGTATATATTTAAAATCAAATCCAGGACAACCTGGAGATACTGGTGAAATTACAAATATTACTTATGAAAATATTCTTATTAACAATGCTACACTATGGTCCATATGGATTGGACCACAACAAGCTATCTATCAGAATGTTTGTTCACTTCTATGGCCTTTTGTACCTGGAGCACAGTGTCCTGTTCCAGTTGGTATTACTTGGAACAATATTGTTTTACGAAATATTACTGTTAATAGTCCACAAATAAGTCCTGGTGTTATACTGGGTAATTCATCAAATCCAATGTTAAATATATTATTTGATAATGTACTTGTAACAAATCCTGGTAGTGTTCCGTGGGGTAATCGTTATTATGATTGCGAAGATGTACAAGGTGTTGCACAAGGAAATACGAAACCAGTACCACCATGTTTTGAAAATAAAACATCTTAATTATATTTTTTTCTTCTTCTAAATAATAATTCTTTTGAAAGAAAAAAGATATTCAAAATGCATCATTTTACTACTGATCATAAAAGCAAATATTCGTGAGAACGGAGAACGTAGTGAATACTTTACAAGAGAAACAAAAGTTTTAGTTTTCCTATATAAAATTTATATAGAACATTAATAAACAATGTCCACGTATGAAAATATAATAGATATAAAAGGGTGTTTTATAATAACAGAGGTTAATTTCTTTTCTACACTTTTACCAGTTTTATTCTATACAGAGAGCTGAAAATTTTATCATGTATATATCTAATAATGATTTTTTATTTCTAAAAGTTTCAGCATTTTACCACTAGTCATTGATGAAATAATATAGTTGATATTAAATAGATGTATTTTCAAAATCGATATTTCGATGCTTTTTCATTGTAATTTATGTTTCTCGAATATTGATTAAATGCAAGGGGGAAAAAGCGAGACTTCATCTACTTCAAAACTTTTTGAAGTGCGATGGGAGTACAAAGGAAGTACGGAAGTAGATGAAGTCTCACTTTTTCCCCCTTGATTGATAATCACAGTTTGTAACTATGAGCACATAATATATTTGAACAAATAAATTATTGTTACAATCTTCAATCAAAGAATAAAATCATCCATATGAACCCAACAGTTTAATTTTATTCAAAAATAACGGTAATCAAAGTAGCTATTGAAACATGTCGTATGATTCTGCTTTGAATTATTTCTGTCAAGTCACTCTGAACATCCTCAGACGATTAACTGCTGTTGCAATTTATATAGTTAATAAACTATTGAATAAAATTGCCCTATGACTAAAAGAAATTAATTAGAGATGATGAAACACTTTGATATATTTTGGTCTATAAATTCTGAAAGGCTAAATATCACTTTGATTAATATGAAGGACCGTGAAACCTACGAGAACTCATAAATTTAAAATAGTACATACTTACAGAATACCTAGAGAATTACTGTACACATCAATATACTTTGTTAATAGTCCAATATTAGATTTTTAAAGAAATATTCTTTCTGTTTTTACTATAGATTGCTGATCTTCTGCATTATTATTTCAAAAATTTAGTTGGTTTAGTATTTTTAATTATTCATTTTCTTGTCGAAGTTTGGTTGAAAGTATAAATTAGAGTGAGTTACAGCATATTTCACTAATACCTCATAGCCAGAACCAACAGGTTCAATTTTCCTTTTTTAGTCAAGAAGTAAGTCCATTTGTTTTCGATTGATTAAGAGTACCTGTCTCTGTCACACATCTAATCAAAGATTAGTCTTTTGAAAAATTAGTTGTGAGTCATTAACGCAAATGGGAAAGTCTATTGATCGCAGAACTTTATATAAGATAGAAATATATCAATGTACATACAAGAAGTTCTTTTAAAACTTGATTATTATTTTGCATATGAACATTACATCCTCAAATTTGAGCTGAATCATTTTATTTTTTTTAATTTTTATTTAAAAAAACTTCTATTATAATTACGGTTAGGAAAAAGGTACGAAAAAAATACAAGAAAGAAACTTGAAATGAAGGTATTAATAAAAAACTAATGAAAAAAAATTAAAAGAAATAGTTATTGGAATCTGTTTGACTCTAAAAAGTTTATTTTTTGAAATAGTTTTTGTTGTCAGACCAAACCCCCAACAGCTCGTGAATACTTCTCTAACAAGCACTAGCATTAAGAGAACGACCACTACGAAGACCACCACTACCAAAAGAACAAGCATAAGGACAATTAAAAACACCAAAATAACGATCATGAACACCAAGTTTAGCAAGACCAAAACGAGAACGAGTGCTAGGATCATCACCAATATCATTATCATCAATACCACGACAATAAATACCACGTTTATCACAAGAAATACAAGTATCCGTGCCACAACAAAGAGCAGCACTGCACGGTGATGGAACTAAAACATACAACCAGAGAAATTTGATTATTAGATCAAAACTAAACTAGTCCCGCATATAAACTCGACACTCAAAGCTTACTTATACCTTCGTACTTTATCATGTATCACATGAAACCAAAGAGCAATAGAGAAACATTAACTGACTTGGTATAGAATAATTCGGTTTTGGAATCAGAAGGATCATTTTTAACAGAGTGGGAGTTACAAAAGGCTGCGTTATAACTTTTGAGTTATGAATAATCAACCTTTTGGTCCAAAAGTCATTTTAGTTATAACCGTGGCTGAAACTTACAACTAAAACCGTAATCATTTTAACCTTTCAAAAATATTTTTAAGTAAATCCCTTCTCGCTTTTTCCCCTTTGCTGTTCTTTTGACTGTTGATCCATTATTTTATTAGTGAACTTTCATATATTAGTTTCAACAACAATTGTTTCGCGTTTGAAAATGTTGAGTAATTAGCCTACCACTCTTCTATTGCATAGTCTTTATTTACAAAGCATTCTTCACTAATAATCATATGCACTTAATCAATTTCGTCAGGGTCAGAAATTATAATCATAGTCAAAAGTTATAGTCATGGTTGAAACCTATAATATCGGTTTTGATCATTTTAAAATTTTCTCAATTTCTCTAACTTTTAACTTTTCAAAAATTTATTCTAACTTCCACATTACATAAAAAGCTCCCTCTTTTTCAATCAGTCAATGTCTACGTCAAAAAAAAAATCATTACTTACTTTCACATCTATCGCCAGTGCATCCATCTTTACACTCGCAGGTACCATCAGGACCGGTGCATGTTCCACCATTTTCACATAAACCTACATATACAAACGCACATAAAACCAACTCGACTGTAGAACAACACGAACTATAGAAAGAACTTACACCATTCGCATGTGTCACCAGTCCATTGACCTTTACACTAACATATCTTATAAGGACCACATGTTCCACCGTTCAGACATGGACCTAAACACACAAATGCACGAAAAAAACAACTATGCTGTAGAGCAACACACGCTTTTAAAACAACTTACAGTTTTCAATAGGACATTCATACCAACTGGTAATCATACCATAATCGGGAACAATATAACCGTACATCTGAACACCATTACTAGTATCACTACGACAATAATTAGTAGCACCATTATCATCACAAGGAGCAAAAGAATCCGCGCCACAACAAAAAGCAACTGTGCACGGTGGTGGAGCTAAAACATACAATCAGAGAAATTTGATTATTAGATCAAAACTAAATTAGTCCCACACATAAACTCGAAACTCAAAGCTTAATTATGCTTTCTCATTCATAAGGAGCAGAATAAAAAGTTTTCAAAAACAGAAGAAACTGACTCGTATAAAAACTTCTGATCTATCCTAAGACCAGGGTGGGTGTGAGCGTACGTGTAAATGTGTGTGATACCCTTATATTTACTCACATCCACACCCATCCTACATACTTATTGTAATAAATGAGTTTTTCATCAAAACTATCATTAAATCATTCTCTTAAAAAAATGTAATAATAGATTGAAAAAAACAATCCTTTACAAGCTGTATTGGTTCAGTGACTTCCCACCGATAGTCATCATATGAGCTCTAAGTATTAGCTTAATTTGGATAGTTTTCAATTCACATTGTTGAACAAGTTAACATAAGCTCTTACCTGAGTTGTCAGTATCTCGCATCGTAGTGCGAAGATCGTCAATATCTAGTTTCTGCAAAACATGTCGTAACAACATTTTGTATTGGTTCTTCTTGTCATAATTGTCGTCATTATATTGTCGACGCAATTCTTTGTACGAACTAGGTTTTGCGACTGACGAATGCTTCGAAACAATTGCAACGAGAGCCAAAGCCACAACTATTATAATGGATGGACGCATTTGTTTGCTGTTGAGTAAGAATATGAAATTAACCGTCGATGGATAGAAAATCGATTGTGATTTATACAGTCAGTTAGCAAAGGCGCTCATTCAACCATAACCCAGTGTGTTTCAAAGGAAAGAAAAGAATTAGTGATCAAAGCACGCTGTGTATTCAACCAGAATATATTATTGCTTTGAAGGGATAGAAGAAGAATATTTGTTGTCTGAAATTATTCAAGTAGAACATGTTGTTGTCAAATTTTATTGTGATGGGATATAAGCAGGTTTTGTTCATCATAAAATTTATTTTACGATAAAAGATAATCACAAAATTATTGTTTGAATAATAAACTATTCTTTTTATTTGTGATATTCATTCATTAAGTCAAGCTTTATAAGCGCATACATTGTTGAAAATTAATTCATTTATTATCATATTTTGTGACAATATAGTAAAACCTCCATAATGTGAACACCATCGAGACCGGAGAAAAGTGTTCATTATACAGAGATATTCACTATAGAGAATTATTATATAACATAGCCTGAAATGGAAGAAATCTTAGAATATTTGTTTATGTCTTTATAGTAGAGAAACATCCGAGTATCTATTCTATTGTTCATTTATCATTTGTTGAACGATTTTAATAAAATCTTCTAATGTTGTTTGTCTTGTTGCACTCGAATCATATACAAAAAGTACCTTTCTTGCACACAAAATATATGACGGAAAGTAGAGGGAGGTCAAAAAACCATTACATGTATATTCGTATTGCAGAGGTTAAAATACTAAATAGCACCGAAAAAAAAAGGGTTTACTGTTCAGAAGAAAGAGGTGTTCACACTAGAGAGAATTTACTGCATATACGTGTATTATAATAAGGAAAATGTTTATCTTATATAATATTTCTAAATAAAACTTACATATTATCTATGCATATTTGAGAAAAACTTTCATTAGATCTGTAGATCGGATAAAGAATTATTATTACATATCAGTGAGAAACGATATTATGTGATTGACACCATAAAATCATACTGTCGACTATTTTGTTATTGGAACATGTCACTCTATTCGTCCATTCATTCTATTTTCTAGTCTTTTTTTCTTTTTCTATAATGATATTAGTATTGTTGCTGCTGTTGATCAATCCAACAATACTCAGGACATACTCAATGAGTATCTATTATTGGAAAACTAAGTGTGTAGAAATAAGCTATAATTTATTCTAGTAATCGTATAATTCCGTTTATGATGTAGGTATTTGGTTTTAATTGTAATAGATTATATTTATTTGGAAAAGTTGATTTTTCTTTTATTGTGTTTTAACGAAATGACAGATGGCAGGAAAAGTAAATAAACGTATCTTGGGTGGTAGTGTTGTGTCTGTGCTACCCGCATCTACACCCACACCCACTCTCACCCACTCGCATGATACAATTTTAAGTGTCGTTAACTATTGAATCGCATTACTTTAATAACAGGAAGACAAAAAAAAAA